AAGTTTGTGGTTATAGGAGGGTGGGGGCAGGAGGAAAGAGGAGTGATTGGTGGAATGATGAAGTAAAGGGTGTGATAAAAGAGAAAAAGGTAGCTTACGAGAGGTTTTTACAAAGCAGAAGTGTTATAAGAAGAGCAGAGTATATGGAGAGTAAAAGAAAGGTGAAGAGAGTGGTGAGAGAGTGCAAAAGGAGAGCAGATGAAAGAGTGGGAGAGGCACTGTCAAGAAATTTTAATGAAAATAAGAAAAAATTTTGGAGTGAGTTAAACAAGTTAAGAAAGCCTAGGGAAAGTATGGATTTGTCAGTTAAAAACAGAGTAGGGGAGTTAGTAGATGGGGAGAGGGAGGTATTAGGTAGATGGCAAGAATATTTTGAGGAACTTTTAAATGTTGAGGAAGAAAGGGAGGCAGTAATTTCATGCACTGGCCAGGGAGGTATACCATCTTTTAGGAGTGAAGAAGAGCAGAATGTAAGTGTGGTGGAGGTACGTGAGGCATTACGTAGAATGAAAGGGGGTAAAGCAGCTGGAACTGATGGGATCATGACAGAAATGTTAAAAGCAGGGGGGGATATAGTGTTGGAGTGGTTGGTACTTTTGTTTAATAAATGTATGAAAGAGGGGAAGGTACCTAGGGATTGGCAGAGAGCATGTATAGTCCCTTTATATAAAGGGAAGGGGGGCAAAAGAGATTGTAAAAATTTTTTATTTTTATTATCACACTGGCCGATTCCCACCAAGGCAGGGTGGCCCGAAAAAGAAAAACTTTCACCATCATTCACTCCATCACTGTCTTGCCAGAAGGGTGCTTTACACTACAGTTTTTAAACTGCAACATTAACACCCCTCCTTCAAAGTGCGGGCACTGTGCAGTGGACCCCCACTTAACGATCACCTCCAAATGCGACCAATTATGTAAGTGTATTTATGTAAGTGCGTTTGTACGTGTATGTTTGGGGGTCTGAAATGGACTAATCTACTTCACAATATTCCTTATGGGTAAAAATTCGGTCAGTACTGGCACCTGAACATACTACTGGAATGAAAAAAGTTCGTTAACCGGGGGTCCACTGTACTTCCCATCTCCAGGACTCAAGTCCGGCCTGCCGGTTTCCCTGAATCCCTTCATAAATGTTACTTTGCTCACACTCCAACAGCACGTCAAGTATTAAAAACCATTTGTCTCCATTCACTCCTATCAAACACGCTCATGCATGCCTGCTGGAAATCCAAGCCCTTCGCACACAAAACCTCCTTTACCCCCTACCTCCAACCTTTCCTAGGCCGACCCCTACCCCGCCTTCCTTCCACTACAGACTGATACACTCTTGAAGTCATTATGTTTCGCTCCATTCTCTCTACATGTCCGAACCACCTCAACAACCCTTCCTCAGCCCTCTGGACAACAGTTTTGGTAACCCGCACCTCCCCCCCTAATTTCCCAAAACTACAATTTCTCGCATTATATTCACACCCAAATTGGCCCTCAACATGACATCTCCACGCCTCCCCCTTCTCCCGCTGCAACATTCATCACCCCCACGCTTCAAACCCTATAAGAGCGGGGGTAAAACTATATTTCTAAATACTTTCCCCTCTTTGCCCCCCAAGGACAAAGTTTTTTTTGTCTCCACAGATTTCCCTTTAAGTGCACCACTCACCCCCTTTTTTCCCCCCTTTAAAATTCTATGTTTCCCACCTCATTTTTCCTAACCCATCCCTGACACGCCCACCCCCAAAATCTGAATACGTTCACCTCCTCCATACTCTCTCCCTCCAATCGATAAAAAATCTTTCATCACCAAAACTTTTTGTTATCCTCAAACCTTACTCTTTCCTGTATTCACCTTTTTTTCCCTTCCTTTTGCACACCCACAAAAATTCATCTACCAATCTCTGCAACTTCTCTTCAAAATCTCCCAAAGCACAGTTCATCAGCCCAAAAAAGCCCGGACAAAAACCCCCCTTTTTTGTGTGATCCCTTTTTCTTTTAACTCCAGCCTCTTTGGGCCCAAAACCCTCAAAATTTACTTTTTCCCAAAAACCCCCCTCTATAAATAAATTAAACAACCAAAGGGGGACATCACACATCCTTGTTAAGGCCCTTTCTTTTACTGGGGAAAAAATTTCCCCCTTTTCCCACATACCCAACTTTAGCCTCCAAAAACCCTAAAAACCCCTTCAAAGCTTCAGTAACCCACCTCCCCACACCATACACTTTTCAACATATGCCACATTGCCCCCCTATCCACCCTTTCCCTCGCCTTTTTTCCCAAAAACCCTAAAAACCACAAAGACCTCTTTAGCCTTATCAAATACTGTTCACTTATATGTTTCACTGAAACACCTGGTCTACAAAACCCCCTCCCTTTTCCTAAAGCCTCCTTGTTCATTCTACCTTTCCCCCGTTTTACTTTTAAATTTCTTTCAATTAAACTCTACCATACACTTTACCGGGTTACTCAACAGACTTATCCCCCAAATTTTTTTGCCTCTCTTTTATCCCCTTTCCCTTTATACAAGGAATTTTGCATGCCTCTGCCAATCCCTGGGACCTCCCTTTTCCCATACATTTTTTAAAATAATTCACCAACCACTCCAAAAACTATATCCCCCCCTGCTTTTTAACATTTCTATCTTTATCCCATCAACCCTGGCTCCTTCCCCCCTTTCATTTTCCCTACTGCCTCACGAATTCCCCCACACCCAACGGCTCTTCCCACTCCTACAAATGTTATTCCCCTTGCCCTATCACAAAAAACACTTCCCATTTTCCCAAACATTTAAAAATTTCCCCAAAAATTTTTCCCCCCATTTTCCCCAAATACCTCTAACTCTCCATTTAATAACTCTCCTCCCCCTTTTTTAATGACAAATCCATTTGTTCTCTAGCTTTCTTTAAATTTTAATCTCACTCCAAAACTTTTTCTTATTTTTAACAAAATTTGTTGATAACATCTCACCCACCTCTCATTTGCTCTATTTTTACATTGCTTCACCACTCTCTTAACCTCTCTCTTTTCTCCATATACTCTTCCCTCCTTCATCACTTCTACTTTGTAAAAACTTCTCTTATGCTAACTTTTTCTCCCTTACTACTCTCTTTACATCATCATTCCACCAATCGCTCCTCTTCCCTCCTGCACCCACTTTCCTGTAACGACAAACTTCTGCTGAACACTCTAACACTACATTTTTAAACCTACCCCATACCTCTTCGACCCCATTGCCTATGCTCTCATTAGCCCATCTATCCTCCAATAGCTGTTTATATCTTACCCTAACTGCCTCCTCTTTTAGTTTGTAAAAATTATATAGGAATAAGTTTACTGAGTATACCAGGAAAAGTATACGGTTGGGTTATAATTGAAAGAATTAGAGGTAAGACAGAATGTAGGATTGCGGATGAGCAAGGAGGCTTCAGAGTGGGTAGGGGATGTGTAGATCAAGTGTTTACATTGAAGCATATATGTGAACAGTATTTAGATAAAGGTAGGGAAGTTTTTATTGCATTTATGGATTTAGAAAAGGCATATGATAGAGTGGATAGAGGAGCAATGTGGCAGATTGTTGCAAGTATATGGAATAGGTGGTAAGTTACTAAATCTGTAAAGAGCTTTATGGGATAGTGAGGCTCAGGTTAGGGTGTGTAAAAAGAGAGGGAGAATACTTCCGGGTAAAAGTAGGTCTTAGACAGGGATGTGTAATGTCACCATGGTTGTTTAATATTTATAGATGGGGTTGTAAAAGAAGTAAATGCTAGGGTGTTGGGGAGAGGGGTGGGATTAAATATGGGGAATCAAATTCAAAAGGGGAATTGACACAGTTACTTTTTGGTGATGATACTGTGCTTATGGGAGATTCTAAAGAAAAATTGCTAAGGTTAGTGGATGATTTGAGAATGTGTGTAAAGGTAGAAAGTTGAAAGTGAACATAGAAAAGAGTAAGGTGATGAGGGTATCAAATGATTTAGATAAGAAAAATTGGATATCAAATTGGGGAGGAGGATATGGAAAAGTGAATGTTTTCAGATATTTGGGAGTTGACGTGTCGGCGGATGGATTTATGAAGGATGAGGTTAATCATAGAATTAAATGAGGAAAAAAGTGAGTGTGCGTTGAGGTATTGTGGAGTCAAAAAAAACGTTAACTATGGAGGCAAAGAAGGGAAATGTATGAAAGTATAGTAGTACCACTTTCTTATATGGATGTGAAGCTTGGGTGGTAAATGCAGCGGGCGGGGAAACGGTTGGAGGCAGTGGAGATGTCCTGCTAAGGGCAATGTGTGGTGTAAATATTATGCAGAAAATTCGGAGTGTGGAAATTAGATGAAGGGGTGAAGTTAATAAAAGCATTTTGTCAGAGGCAGAAGAGGGTTGTTGAGGTGGTTTGGTCATTTAGAGAGAATGGATCAAGTAGAAAAGACATGGGAAGCATATAAATCTATAGGGGAAGGAAAGAGGGGTAGGGTCGTCCTCGAAAGGGTTGGAAAGAGGGGGTAAAGGAGGTTTTGTTTGGGGGAGGGGCTTGGACTTCCAGCAAGCTTGCATGAGCGTGTTAGATAGGGGTGAATGGAGACGAATGATACTTGGGACCTGACGATCTGTTGGAGTGTGAGCAGGGTAATATTTAGTGAAAGGATTCAGGGAAACCGGTTATTTTTTATATAGTCGGACTTGAGTCCTGGAAATGGGAAGTACAATGCCTGCACTTTAAAGGAGGGGTTTGGGATGTTGGCAGTTTGGAGGGATATGTTGTGTATCTTTATATGTATATGCTTCTAAACTGTTGTATTCTGAGTGCCTCTGCAAAAGCAGTGATAATGTGTGAGTGTGGTGAAAGTGTTGAATGATGATGAAAGTATTTTCTTTTTGGGGATTTTCTTTCTTTTTTGGGTCACCCTGCCTCGGTGGGAGACGGCCGACTTGTTGAAAAAAAAAAAAAAACATAGAAAATCAGTTGTGTGAACATAATAATGAAAATTTTCATTTATTTGTAACAGATATAAACTTGCCATCACAAGAATCTTTGGCAAGTACACAGATGCCATTGTCGTTGACACGGAGAAGACAGCTCAAGTGTGTTTGCAGTACCTCAAGGATCAGGCTGTGGGCCGAGAAACTTTCCTTCCGCTTAACTATATTACTGTGAAGCCTCTCAAGGAAAGGCTAAGGAACATAGCAGAGCCAAGAAATGTAAGGCTACTCTATGATCTCGTGCGTTACAATCCTCCGGAAATACAAAATGCTGTGCTTTTTGTGGTAAATAGTGTACTTGTTTGTGAGACTGTTGAGGATGCTGCAAAAGTGGCCTATGAGATGGAGGATGGACATAAGTATGATGCTGTGGCTCTGGACGGAACCTTCTTTTCCAAATCTGGCCTCATTACTGGAGGTACTTGTGAATTGGAAAGAAAGGCCAGGAAATGGGACGAGAAGCATCTGTCCGACCTGAAATCGACCAGGAAAAAGTTATCAGAGGAACTGCGAGAAATTACAAAGAAGTCTTACAAGAGATCCGAACTTAACACAGTTGAGGCTAAAATTGAAGGCATTGAAACTCGACTCAAGTATGCGAAGATTGACAAGGATTCCACAGAAAAACTGGTTTTACAGCTACAGAAAGACCTAGATAGCCTAACAGAAGAACTGCATGGCTTTCAGCCACAGCTGCAGGATATAAATAAAACTATGGCAGAGCGTGAGACCCTCATCAGTGACACAAAAAAGAAAATAAATAGTGTAGAAGATGTCGTCTTTGCCGACTTTTGCAACTCTATCGGAGTCGGGAACATTCGTCAGTATGAAGAGCAAGAGCTGCAGATCCAGACTGATCATGCCAGCCGGCGTTTGGACTTTGAAAAGCAAAAAAATCGTATCCTAAATCAATTAGAATATGAAAAAACACGAGACACGCAGAAAGCCGTGGAAAGATGGGAACGCACTCTGAAAGGTGATGAAAAGATTCTGGAGGAAGCCAAGCAGGTAGAGCAGAAAAAGGTAGGTTAATAGTACCATTCACTACTTCACGTTCACTCCAAACTTCCCTTCAACAAAGTTGCCTTGATGCTGGTGAACAGATCTTGATCCAAGGACTTGGAGCTTCCTTAGATTAAACCTGATTAACTCCCATTTCCCAGGCACTATATGACCCTTAAATATGGCACTTTGCCATAAATATAATAATTACTGAACTTGTATTATGTAACTATGGTTGAATAAATTATATAGTACTTTATAAAATTTATCTTTTTTCTTCTTTGAATATTTCAATGGGCTCTAGCATTAATAGGGTAAAAGGCTCTTGATCATAGGAACTAGAGGTGCCTTCCTCTTCCTTGGAATGAGCCTTTTTATCTCCCATTATCGACGTGCTGTGTGACCCCCCTTGTTAGTGCTTCAACACTAATATTATAATGATCAGTCTGACCTGTGTTTCGGGTTTTATCTGGAATGTTTTCACTTGAAAAGACGGTCTGAACTTTACACTTAAAATCTTTTACAAGAGGACTCCGCATTTTTGGCGCCCTCTTTTCAGTGTCCCACTTTTTCGGCATTTTTCAGTTGAGCCATTGTTCATTACGTATTGAGAAAAACAATGTACAGTGGACCCCCGGTATTTGATATTAATCCGTTCCTGAGAGCTCATCGTATACCAAAATTATCGAAAAGCGAATCAATTTTCCCCATAAATAATGGAAATCAAATTAATCCGTGCAAGACACCCAAAAGTATGAAAAAAATATTTTTACCACATGATGAAATATTAAGTTTAATGCACACAAACTGAGGAAGACATGCACAATTTGTAGTACTCTACTAACAATAGAATACAAAACACTTAACTTTAATGAAGATCTGGTGATGATTGATGGGATGGGAGGAGGGGAGAGTGTCGAACTTATTGTTTAGAAGAGGAATCCCCTTCCATTAGGACTTCAGGTAGCAAGTCCTTTTCCGGGGTTACTTCCCTTCTTCTTTTAATGCCACTAGGACCAGCTTGAGAGTCACTGGACTTGTGTCGCACAACATATCTGTCCATAGAGGCCTGTACCTCTCGTTCCTTTATGACTTTCCTAAAGTGGTTCACAACAGTGTCATTGTACAGGTTGCCAACACGGCTTGCAATAGCTGTGTTAGGGTGATTTTCATCAAAAAAGGTTTGCACTACAAGCCACTTTGCACACATTTCCTTAATCTTTGAAGTAGGCAACCTCTTCAGTTTCTCTATCCCCTCCTCCGAAGCAGTTTCCTCAGGTCTGGCCTCTTGCTGTTGAAGATGATCTAGCAGCTCATCAGTGGTTAGTTCGTCATTGTCCTCCTCCACCAACTCTTCCACATCCTCCCCACTAACCTCCAACCCCAAGGACTTCCCCAATGCCACAATGGATTCCTCAACTGGCATAGGATTCCCAGGGTTAGCCTCAAGCCCTTCAAAATCCCTTTTGTCTACACATTCTGGCCACAGTTTTTTCCAAGTAGAGTTCAAGGTCCTCTTTGTCACTCCCTCCCAAGCCTTACCTATAAGGTTTACACAATTGAGGATATTAAAGTGATCCTTCCAAAACTCTTTTAGAGTCAATCGAGTGTCTGTGGTCACTTCAAAGCACTTTTGAAACATAGCTTTTTGTGTACAGTTTCTTGAAGTTGGAAATGACCTGCTGGTCCATGGGCTGCAGGAGAGGAGTGGTATTAAGAGGCAAAAACTTGACCTTAATGAAGCTCATGTCCCCAGAAAGTCGCTCTGCCAAGTCTGTACGATGACCAGGGGCATTGTCTAGTACCAGGAGGCACTTAAGGTCTAATTTCTTTTCAGTTAGGTAATTTTTCACATTGGGGGCAAATGCTTGGTGTAACCAGTCATAGAAAAAGTCCCTAGTGACCCATGCCTTACTGTCTGCCCTCCACAGCACACACAAATTAGCCTGAACGCTCTGGGAGTTTCAGAGTGATACACCAATAAAGGCTTCACTTTGCAATCACCACTTGCATTGGCACACATCAGAAGAGTAAGCCTGTCTTTCATAGGCTTATGTCCTGGGAGTGCCTTTTCCTTCTGAGTAATGTAGGTCCTGCTTGGCAATTTCTTCCAAAACAGGCCTGTTTCGTCACAATTAAACACTTGTTCAGGTTTCAAGTCTTCACTGTCTGTAATCCTTGAATTTCTTCACATATTTTTTAGCTGCTTTTTGGTCCGAACTGGCAGCCTCACCATGCCTAATCACACTATGTATGACACTATGATTCTTAAATCTTTCATACCAACCTTTGCTGGCCTTAAATTCACTCACATCAGCACTAGTTGCAGGCATTTTTTCAATTAAATCCTCATGCAACTTCCTAGCCTTTTCACAAATGCTCTCTTGAGAGATGCTATCCCCTGCTATCTGTTTTTCATTTATCCACACCAGTAACAGTCTCTCAACATCTTCTAACACTTGCGGTCACTGTTTCGAAATCACAGTTGCATCTTTTGCAAGAACAGCTTCCTTGATTGTCATCTTCCTGGTCACTATAGTAGTGATGGTTGATTGGGGTTTTGTATACAACCTGGCCAGCTCCGACACACGCACTCCACTTTCATACTTTGCAATTATCTCTCTCTCTTCATTTCAATAATCATTAGCACCCTTTTTCTCGAAGGGTTGGCACTAGAAGCTTTCTTGGGGCCCATGGTGAGTTATTTTGCAGAAACAAGCACCAAAAACACTGTGATAATATGGAGTGTACCGAATGTATCCTTAGATGCGAGCACACTGGTTGGCTTGTAAACACTGGCACACACAGGGCAGTTCAGGCCACATGTGGACATGTCTCGGACGAATTGCATGTGGCGGGTTTTTTAACGAGAACCGAGGCAAATTTTTTGCGTTAAAATGTATCGAATACTGGATTTATCGGATACCGATGCCATCGAGTACCGGGGGCCCGCTGTATAATTAAAATTCATTACTCTTTACGTGTCTAGTATTAAGTAGTCTGTAAGCATTAGGTTTAGCATGCCTGAAATGCCCCGGCATGATAGTGACTTTTTTTGTTCCTAACAAATCAAAATTGTCATCACACATTGTAAACTTTGCAAAGAAATAAAATCTTTATTTTTATCTTGAAGCAAAAGTTATCACGATTAATATATGATAGTGTAAACAAGTTATTAGATGTTTTAAACAGATTCAACATTGAAAAAACTCGCAACTTTTCATTCGCCGGTGATTTATGCTTATCGGCTGCGGTCGGAATCTTAACAGCCATAAAAATACTGCCATCCTGTATTTTATGCTTCACATTGAACTGTTCACAAAATTTGAAGAGCTGCTGTTATAATTTGCTTTTCTAGAGCCCTTTTTTTTATATATATATATTTTGGATTATGTGGAGTAAAATAAAGGTTGGATGTGAAAAGCAGGTTATAGTAAGAAAGAGATGATTGTGGATGTTATGAATGAGAAGAAGCTGGATGTCCTGGCTTTAAGTGAAACAAAGCTGAAGGGGGTGGGAGAGTTTCAGTGGAGAGGAATAAATGGGATTAGGTCAGGGGTTTCAAATAGAGTTAGAGCTAAAGAAGGAGTAGCAATAATGTTGAAGGATAAGCTATGGCAGGAAAAGAGGGACTATAAATGTATTAATTCAAGGATTATGTGGAGTAAAATAAAGATTGGATGTGAAAAGTGGGTTATAATAAGCGTGTATGCACCTGGAGAAGAGAGAAGTGTAGAGGAGAGAGAGAGATTCTGGGAAATGTTGAGTGAATGCGTGGGGAGTTTTGAATCAAGTGCGAGAGTAATGGTGGTTGGGGATTTCAATGCTAAAGTGGGTAAAAATGTTATGGAGGGAGTAGTAGGTAAATTTGGGGTGCCAGGGGTAAATGTAAATGGGGAGCCTTTAATTGAGCTATGTGTAGAAAGAGATTTGGTAATAAGTAATACATATTTTATGATAAAGAGGATAAATAAATGTACAGGGTATGATGTAGCACATAATGAAAGTAGTTTGTTAGATTATGTATTGGTGGATAAAAGGTTGATGGGTAGGCTCCAGGATGTACATGTTTATAGAGGGGCAACTGATGTATCGGATCATTATTTACTTGTAGCTACAGTTAGAGTAAGAGGTAGATGGGACAAGCAGAAGGTGGCAACAACAAGTAAGAGGGAGGTGAAAGTGTATAAACTAAGGGAGGAGGAAGTTCGGGCGAGATATAAGCGACTATTGGCAGAAAGGTGGGCTAGTGCAAAGATGAGTAGTGGGGGGTTGAAGAGGGTTGGAATAGTTTTAAAAATGCAGTATTAGAATGTGGGGCAGAAGTTTGTGGTTATAGGAGGGTGGGGGCAGGAGGAAAGAGGAGTGATTGGTGGAATCATGAAGTAAAGGGTGTGATAAAAGAGAAAAAGTTAAGCTTATGAGAGGTTTTTACAAAGAAGAGCAGAGTATATGGAGAGTAAAAGAAAGGTGAAGAGAGTGGTGAGAGAGTGCAAAAGGAGAGCAGATAGAGTGGGAGAGGCATTGTCAAGAACTTTTAATGAAAATTAGACAAAATTTTGGAGTGAGTTAAACAAGTTAAGAAAGCCTAGGGAAAGTATGGATTTGTCAGTTAAAAACAGAGTAGGGGAGTTAGTAGATGGGGAGATGGAGGTATTAGGTAGATGGTGAGAATATTTTGAGGAACTTTTAAATGTTGAGGAAGAAAGGGAGGCGGTAATTTCATGCACTGGCCAGGGAGGTATACCATCTTTTAGGAGTGAAGAAGAGCAGAATGTAAGCGTGGGCGAGGTACATTAGGTATTACGTAGAATAAAAGGGGGTAAAGCAGCTGGAACTGATGGGATCTTGACAGAAATGTTAAAAGCGGGGGGAGATATAGTGTTGGAGTGGTTGATACTTTTGTTTAATAAATGTTTGAAAGAGGTGAAGGTACCTAGGGATTGGCAGAGAGCATGTATAGTCCCTTTATATAAAGGGAAGTGGGACAAAAGAGATTGTAAAAATTATAGAGGAATAAGTTTACTGAGTATACCAGGAAAAGTATACGGTAGGGTTATAATTGAAAGAATTAGAGGTAAGACAGAATGTAGGATTGCGGATGAGCAAGGAGGTTTCAGAGTGGGTAGGGGATGTGTTGATCAAGTGTTTACATTGAAGCATATATGTGAACAGTATTTAGATAAAGGTAGGGAAGTTTTTATTGCATTTATGGATTTAGAAAAGGCGTATGATAGAGTGGATAGGGGAGCAATGTGGCAGATGTTGCAAGTATATGGAATAGGTGGTAAGTTACTAAATGCTGTAAAGAGCTTTTATGAGGATAGTGAGACTCAGGTTAGGGTGTGTAGAAGAGAGGGAGACTACTTCCTGGTAAAAGTAGGTCTTAGACAGGGATGTGTAATGTCACCATGGTTGTTTAATATATTTATAGATGGGGTTGTAAAAGAAGTAAATGCTAGGGTGTTCGGGAGAGGGGTGGGATTAAATTATGGGGAATCAAATACAAAATGGGAATTGACACAGTTACTTTTTGCTGATGATACTGTGCTTATGGGAGATTCTAAAGAAAAATTGCAAAGGTTAGTGGATGAGTTTGAGAATGTGTGTAAAGGTAGAAAGTTGAAAGTGAACATAAGTAAGATGATGAGGGTATCAAATGATTTAGATAAAGAAAAATTGGATATCAAATTGGGGAGGAGGAGTATGGAAGAAGTAAATATTTTCAGATACTTGGGAGTTGACGTGTCGGCGGATGGATTTATGAAGGATGAGGTTAATCATAGAATTGATGACGGAAAAAAGGTGAGTGGTGCGTTGAGGTATATGTGGAGTCTAAAAACGTTATCTATGGAGGCAAAGAAGGGAATGTATGAAAGTATAGTAGTACCAACACTCTTATATAGGCGTGAAGCTTGGGTGGTAAATGCTGCAGCGAGGAGACGGTTGGAGGCAGTGGAGATGTCCTGTCTAAGGGCAATGTGTGGTGTAAATATTATGCAGAAAATTCGGAGTGTGGAAATTAGGAGAAGGTGTGGAGTTAATAAAAGTATTAGTCAGCGGGCTGAAGAGGGGTTGTTGTGGTGGTTTGGTCATTTAGAGAGAATGGATCAAAGTAGAATGACATGGAGAGCATTTAAATCTGTAGGAGAAGGAAGGCGAGGTAGGGGTCATCCTCGAAAAGGTTGGAGGGAAGGGGTTAGGGAGGTTTTATGGGCGAGGGGCTTGGAGTTCCAGCAGGCATGCGTGAGCGTGTTTGATAGGAGTGAATGGAGACGAATGGCATTTGGACCTGATGATCTGTTGGAGTGTGAGCAGGGTAATATTTAGTGAAGGGATTCAGGGAAACCGGTTATTTTTATATAGCCAGACTTGAGTCCTGGAAACAAGAAGTACAATGCCTGCACTCTAAAGGAGGGGTTTGGGATATTAGCAGTTTGGAGGGATAAGTTGTGTATCTTTATACATATGTGCTTCTAAACTGTTGTGTTCTGAGCACCTCTGCAAAAACAGTGATAATGTGCGAGTGTGGTGAAAGTATTGAATGATGATGAAAGTATTTTCTTTTTGGGGATTTTCTTTCTTTTTGGGCCACCCTGCCTCGGTGGGAAACGGCCGACTTGTTAAAAAAAAAAAAAAAAATAGATAGGATGCTTTATTTCAGCACAATACAATGTTTGTACAAAGGTAAATAACATTTAGGTGTACAATCAGAAAGTCCCTTAATATACAGAGCATTTCAGGCAAACTTTAGACTAACTTAAGATTAATAAGGCAGGGACAAATTTAGTGGTTTTATACATACAATCTCTTAGTGATTCTAAATATAAATTTAGGAGTTAAAATGAATTGAATATCTTTTAACTGATTGTATTTGTGTGGTTATTACTTGCTTCCTTAACTTATCTCATTATTTTCATTTGGCCAGATTTTGTTTATTCATTTTTTGTAGTTTTCCATCAGCTTTGAAACCATATTTTTATTTTATTCATTGAATAAAATATAATCCCACTTTTATGGTGTAAAATTTTGTTGTGTATTTTATGTATTTTTATAGTTTGTAATATTTTTGTCTGTTTACTTTTTCTGAAATATTTTCTTAGGCCTGTATATTTGAGTTTGTGGGGAGGGGGTTGATCTCCAGCTCTTGGTGCTGTTATATTTGAGTTTGTGGGGAGGGGGTTGATCTCCAGCTCTTGGTGCTGTTATATTTGAGTTTGTGGGGAGGGGGTTGATCTCCAGCTCTTGGTGCTGTCATATTTGAGTTTGTGGGGAGGGGGTTGATCTCCAGCTCTTGGTGCTGTTATATTTGAGTTTGTGGGGAGGGGGTTGATCTCCAGCTCTTGGTGCTGTTATATTTGAGTTTGTGGGGAGGGGGTTGATCTCCAGCTCTTGGTGCTATCTGTTATATATCCTTCCTCTAGTCATACTGTGCTCTATATGTCATCTCTTAATGTCTTTTATTTTTGCCACGCTAACAGCTTGACGACATTGACAAGTCCATGAGAAATCTGGAGAGAAAGCGAGCTGAGAAATTTGCAAAGAAATCAAAATTCGACGAGATGGATGTAGAGATCGCAAAGGCAGAGAAAGTTTTGGTAGCAGCTGCCAAGAGTGTCCAAAGTTTGCAAAAACACATTGGCTCAGTCGAAAATAAGATGGAGCGGAAGAGAGCGGAAAGGTTAGTACGACATAATGGAAGCTTACCACTGTAGTACGTACTTGTCAACAGTTCATTACTGCTGTAACTTTCTTAGCTACCATAACACGGGCCCAGTCCCTGGACCTATTATGTACCTCTAATGTTGAGGTACAGTCCCTGGACCTATTATGTACCTCTAATGTTGAGGTACAGTCCCTGGACCTATTATGTACCTCTAATGTTGAGGTACAGTCCCTGGACCTATTATGTACCTCTAATGTTGAGGTACAGTCCCTGGACCTATTATGTACCTCTAATGTTGAGGTACAGTCCCTGGACCTATTATGTACCTCTAATGTTGAGGTACAGTCCCTGGACCTATTATGTACCTCTAATGTTGAGGTACAGTCCCTGGACCTATTATGTACCTCTAATGTTGAGGTACAGTCCCTGGACCTATTATGTACCTCTAATGTTGAGGTACAGTCCCTGGACCTATTATGTACCTCTAATGTTGAGGTACAGTCCCTGGACCTATTATGTACCTCTAATGTTGAGGTACAGTCCCTGGACCTATTATGTACCTCTAATGTTGAGGTACAGTCCCTGGACCTATTATGTACCTCTGTAATGTTGAGGTACAGTCCCTGGACCTATTATGTACCTCTAATGTTGAGGTACAGTCCCTGGACCTATTATGTACCTCTGTAATGTTGAGGTACAGTCCCTGGACCTATTATGTACCTCTGTAATGTTGAGGTACAGTCCCTGGACCTATTATGTACCTCTGTAATGTTGAGGTACAGTCCCTGGACCTATTATGTACCTCTGTAATGTTGAGGTACAGTCCCTGGACCTATTATGTACCTCTGTAATGTTGAGGTACAGTCCCTGGACCTATTATGTACCTCTGTAATGTTGAGGTACAGTCCCTGGACCTATTATGTACCTCTGTAATGTTAAGGTACAGTCCCTGGACCTATTATGTACCTCTGTAATGTTGAGGTACAGTCCCTGGACCTATTATGTACCTCTGTAATGTTGAGGTACAGTCCCTGGACCTATTATGTACCTCTGTAATGTTGAGGTACAGTCCCTGGACCCATTGTTATCTAATGTTGAGGTACAGTCCCTGGACCTATTATGTACCTCTGTAATGTTGAGGTACAGTCCCTGGACCCATTGTGTATCTAATGTTGAGGTACAGTCCCTGGACCTATTATGTACCTCTGTAATGTTGAGGTACAGTCCCTGGACCCATTATGTATCTGTAATGTTGAGGTACAGTCCTTGGACCCATTATATACCTCTGTAATGTTGAGGTACAGTCCTTGGACCCATTATATACCTGTAATGTTGAGGTACAGTCCCTGGACCCATTATATACCTGTAATGTTGAGGTACAGTCCTTGGACCCATTATGTATCTGCAATACTAATTGACTACCACTGCATGAATATTTGTTTTTAGAATGAAGATATTTACAATAAATCACACTTCAAGTTTTGGGTTTATGACCATGTGGGTTTAGCGCTCCTCCACGAATATAATACGGTAAATCATCAATTTAGTGGACTAATTGGCGTTGAAGGTTATATCAAAATAATGTTAAAAACTGGAAAAGTGCACTAGTACTCTATTGTACATCTAATATAGTACTGTAAGCACAGTGTACAGTTACACTACAGTATACAGTTATACTGTATCCACAGTGTACAGTTATACTACAGTGTACAGTTATACTGTATCCACAGTGTAGAGTTATACTATATACACAGTGTACAGTTATACTGTATCCACAGTGTATAGTTATACTGTACACAGTGTACAGTTATACTGTGTACACAGTGTAGTTATATTGTATCCACAGTGTACAGTTATACTATATACACAGTGTATAGTTATACTGTGTACACAGTGTAGTTATACTGTATCCACAGTGTATAGTTATACTGTATCCACAGTGTAGAGTTATACTATATACACAGTGTACAGTTATACTGTATCCACAGTGTATAGTTATACTGTGTACACAGTGTACAGTTATACTGTATCCACAGTGTATAGTTATACTGTGTACACAGTGTATAGTTATACTGTGTACACAGTGTAGAGTTATACTATATACACAGTGTACAGTTATACTGTATCCACAGTGTATAGTTATACTGTGTACACAGTGTATAGTTATACTGTGTACACAGTGTAGAGTTATACTATATACACAGTGTACAGTTATACTGTATCCACAGTGTACAGTTATACTGTATCCACAGTGTACAGTTACACTGTATCCACAGTGTACAGTTATACTGTATCCACAGTGTACAGTTATACTGTATCCACAGTGTACAGTTATACTGTATCCACAGTGTACAGTTATACTGTATCCAGAGTGTACAGTTATACTGTATCCACAGTGTACAGTTATACTGTATCCACAGTGTACAGTTATACTGTATCCACAGTGTACAGTTATACTGTATCCACAGTGTACAGTTATACTGTATCCACAGTTATACTGTACACTGTTTCCACACCCCTACAACTTGTTTGTATACTATTCCAGCTCCCACAACACTCCCACACCCCTACAACTTGTTTGTATACTTTTCCAGCTCCCACAACACTCCCATATTCCTACAACTTCTTTACAAACTGATCACATCGATTCCAGGCTGAGGGACTGATTACCTCAAACTCCTGATCTAAACTATCTTCTTTCTATTGGACTGATGAAGTCACTTTGTGGTAAAATGTTTCCACAATAAAGAACCCAGGTGTTGCACGTGTCTTAATTATCATTCTCATTCAGTCATGTCTGCTGACATTGCAGTTGCAATTGTTCTTGCAGTATATATTGATAGTTTAATCTCCTGTGTGTGCAGGCACTCAATTCTGAAGCAGTGTAAGATGGAAGACATTAGGGTGCCCATGATACAAGGCAACTTGGACGACGTTGAGAGAGAAGATCAGGGGGCATCTGCATCCACGTCAGAATATTCATCCGAGATCAGCACCCGTGTCAGTATTTTCTCAAGTTATGCCTTCTTCCACTTTATTTAATAAGTTGCATTTCTCATTTCCCACTAACCATTCTTTTATATATTTTTTTCCACAACCTGCCACATCCTACTGAGGCAGAGTAACCTACAAAAGAAAAACGAAAGTTTCTCTTTTTTAAATTCAGTAGTGTATACAGGAGAAGGGGTTACTAGCCCCTTCCTCCTGGCATTTTAGTTGCCTCCTACGACACGTATGGTTTACGTAAGAAGAATTCTGTTCCACCTTTATTATATGATTATCAATCCATTTTTTCCTAGATTCATACATTAATTTTCAGTTTTTCTTCCTTTATTTCTGTCAGGAATTTGTATAGTCTTGTTTACCTGGAGAGAGAGATGTTAGTCATTAGATTAAATAAAATTATTAATGTAACACATCTTTGATGCCCTGAACAGTAAAAGCACATCTTAGTTTACAGCTACGCTTATTGATTCACTACATTTAGGTATCTCGGAAATCTTGTTTTGTATGCCACCTGTGTCATCCTTTGTCTCCATTTGGTCTCTGAGGAGCTCAAAGAAATTAACACTCTATGCTCAATAATAACCCCACCTGGAGACAGACTCAGAATATTGATTGATCTGTATATTTTGATCCCCTTCTGGGATCCTTTTCGGTATATACATAAGTGATAGGAAAACATGAATTTAAAGGGGAGGTTGCATCTTATTTTGAATTTTCGCTGTGATTTTTTTTTTTTTTTTTTGTTTTTGTTTTTGTTTTTCTTGCAGAGTCATTATTAAAGCACATAATACAGTATTAGAGTGATATGACAAGAAAAACTATACTCTCGTACATTCCCCTCTTTGCCTCCAAGGGCAAAGTTCTTTGTCTCCACAGACTCCTAAGTGCACCACTCACTCTTTTCCCCTCTTCAATTCTATGATTCACCTCATTTTTCATAGACCCATCCGCTGACACGTCCACTCCCAAATATCTGAATACATTCACCTCCTCCATACTCTCTCCCTCCAATCTGATATCCAATCTTTCATCACCTAATCTTTTTGTTATCCTCATAACCTTTCTCTTTCCTGTATTCACTTTTAATTTACTTCTTTTGCACACCCTACCAAATTCATCCACCAATCTCTGCAACTTCTCTTCAGAATCTCCCAAGAGCACAGTGTCATCAGCAAAGAGCAACTGTGACAACTCCCACTTTATGTGTGATTCTTTATCTTTTAACTCCACGCCTCTTGCCAAGACCCTCGCATTTACTTCTCTTACAACCCCATCTATAAATATATTAAACAACCACGTATAGTTTTACCAACGCTCTTATATGGGTGTGAAGCATGGGTGATGAATGTTGCAGCGAGGAGAAGGCTGGAGGCAGTGGAGATGTCATGTCTGAGAGCAATGTGTGGTGTGAATATAATGCAGAGAATTCGTAGTTTGGAAGTTAGGAGGAGGTGCAGGATTACCAAAACTGTTGTCCAGAGGGCTGAGGAAGGGTTGTTGAGGTGGTTCGGACATGTGGAGAGAATGGAGCGAAACAGAATAACTTCAAGAGTGTATCAGTCTGTAGTGGAAGGAAGGCGGGGTAGGGGTCAGCCTAGGAAAGGTTGGAGGGAGGGGGTAAAGGAGGTTTTGTGTGCGAGGGGCTTGGACTTCCAGCAGGCATGCGTGAGTGTGTTTGATAGGAGTGAATGGAGGCAAATGGTTTTTAATACTTGACGTGCTGTTGGAGTGTGAGCAAAGTAACATTTATGAAGGGGTTCAGGGAAACTGGCAGGCCGGACTTGAGTCCTGGAGATGGGAAGTACAGTGCCTGCACTCTGAAGGAGGGGTGTTAATGTTGCAGTTTAAAAACTGTAGTGTAAAGCACCCTTCTGGCAAGACAGTGATGGAGTGGATGATGGTGAAAGTTTTTCTTTTTCGGGTCACCCTGCCTTGGTGGGAATCGGCCAGTGTGATAATAAAAAAATTAAAAAATGACAAGAAAATATTCATATGCGCTTTAAGAATTACGTTGGACCATTGAGTGCTTGCTTTCTCTTGTTCTCCGAGGCTTCATGTAATCTACTGTGTACTACGAGGAATGTAAATAGTCTAGGAAATGAATTGGGGTAACCCATGCTGTCTTAGAATATGGAGGAAAAAGTTGAAGATTCCACTGATTTGTTAGAGTTGCAATAATGGGAGACAACACATGTGCTGCTTGTTTGCACATGATTGGTGGCAAGACAGTGACAGAGAGAGTGATGATGAATGTTTTTTCGTTTTCAGGTCACCGTGCCTTGGTGGGAAACAGGTGATGTGTTAAAAAAAAAAATACTGACACGATCAGGATTACACATACACAGCACCTGGGTATCTAATTGATGATGGTTCACCAATCAGTAGCTTGATCAGCTCACCACAGATACCCAGGTGTTGCACACATCTAATTCCTCAGTTTATAGTATTAACATCTAACTTATATAATAATAATAATTATCTTCATCTAGGTAGTAGGTTGGTAGACAGCAACCACCCAGGGAGGTACTACCGTCCTGCCAAGTGAGTGTAAAACGAAAGCCTGTAATTGTTTTACACGATGGTAGGATTGCTGGTGTCCTTTTTTCTGTCTCATAAACATGCAAGATTTCAGGTACGTCTTGCTACTTCTACTTCCACTTAGGTCACACTATACATACATGTACAAGCATATATATACACACACCCCTCTGGGTTTTCTGCTATTTTCTTTCTAGTTCTTGTTTATTTCCTCTTACCTCCATGGGGAAGTGGAACAGAATTCTTCCTCATAAGCCATGCGTGTTGTAAGAGGCGACTAAAATGTCGGGAGCAAGGGGCTAGTAACCCCTTCTCCTGTATAAATTACTAAATTTAAATAAGAGAAACTTGTTTTTCTTTTTGGGCCACCCTGCCTTCATGGGATACGGCCGGTTTGTTGAAAGAAGAAAGAATTATTTTAATTTCTACAAGTACGTGTCCAGGGTATACAGGCCTGACATCAATGACATTCTGCTATATAGAAAGCCTCATGTTATGCAGAGCATTTTGGCCAAATTAGGTCAGTTTTGTCCTGAGGATGCAACCCACGCCAGTCAGCTAACACCCAGGTATGTACTTACTGCTAGGTGAATAGGGACAGTAGATGTCTTACGGGAATACATCCTAATGTTTCCACCTGCAATGGGGATCAACCCCCAGACCTCAGTGTGTGAGCTGAGTGCACTACCAACCCAGCTATGGGACACAAGCACATTAATTATATTTCACATTTAAGGTGGTGTATGAGAGAGAGGAGAGGATCGTGGTGGACTACTCTGCCCTGCCTGACTCCCTCAAGGACCTGGATGACATGGATGAAGTCCACACAACTGAAGAAGACATGGCTAAGCAAATCACCGATCTCGAGAACACCTTACAGCGTATCAAGGTAATTACACCTCCCCATTTAAGGTATTAAATCAGTTTTATTTACTTTTCCTTTATTTTTTCTCTAGGTAATAATGCTACATTTTTGTAGCTCAGTAATTTTAGCTTGTAATCTTGAAGCCATTAACAGTACAGTAATTATTTTCTCCTTTGAAAACTTTATTTCTTATATTCATTTTTTGTTTTATATTTGTTATCTTCACCTGTAAGTTGCTATCCTTAGCTTTGTTATTGTTATCTTTAACTGTAAGTTATTTTTAGCTGTGTTATTATCTTTAACTGTAAGTTATCTTTGTGTTAGTGTTTAACTGTACGTTATTTTTAGCTGTGTTATTGTTATCTTTAACTGTAAATTATCTTTAGCTATGTTATTGTTATCTCTAAGTTATTATCTTTAGCACTGTTATCGTTATCTTTAATTCTGTAAAGTTTGCTTTTATTTTAAGTATGTTAGCCATGTTACTGTCTCATAACCTGTATATCTGTGACCAGTTGAGAGGTCTACTCTTGCAGTCCGCCCAGGTGACCAGACCCGCTGGTTGATGGTCTGATCAACCAGACTGTTGCTGCCTGCACCATGCTGGCTTACACAACCATCACAGCCACACTCACCTGCCACTTCGAGTAGAAATCTGTTTAATTTCCTGTTGAAGACATCTGCCTGTGTTAGTATACCCCACGTTGTTGTAGAATAATGCATAGTATACCTCATGCTGTTGTAGAATAATATATAGTATACCTCATGTTATGGAAAATACATAGAGTAACCCATGTTGTTTTAAATTAATCCTTAAACTGTCCAAACGCTGATCTGCGTAGTGCTCCAAACATAGATCTACATTCTTTTTTTTTTTTTTTTTTACATTTGCAAGCATGTAAAATAAAACGTAGATCTACGTTCAGAGTGCTACGCACGTGAACGTAGATCTACGTTTGGACAGTTTAACCCTTAAACTGTCCAAACGTAGATATACGTTTACATGCGGCAGGCCCTGTTTTTTTTTTTTTTTTTTACATGCTTTCAAATGGGGAAAATCAAGGTCAGAGCACTACGCACGTGAGCGTAGATCTACGTTTGGACAGTTTAAGGGTTAAGGGTTAATACATACTACATTCTTACTACAGTGTAGTACATGTAGGGAACAACAGACCCAGTTCCTTTAATAAAGTCCTTTCCACCAGCATCAAGGCACCCCCTCCTTGAGCCATCCACCAGCATCAAGGCACCCTCTCTTCCTTGAACCATCCACAAGAATCAAGAGTCCTCCTCTTTCTCCTCCTCCTCCTCCTCTTCCTCTTCCTCCTCTTCCTCCTCCTCCTCTTCCTCCTCCTCCTCCCTCCTCTTCTTCCTCCTCTTCTTCCTCCTCTTCTTCCTCCTCTTCTTCCTCCTCCTTACTCCTCCCTTCTCCTTCCTCCTCCTCCTCCTACCTTCTCCTTCCTCCTCCTCCTCCTACCTTCTCCTTCCTCCTCCTCCTCCTACCTTCTCCCTCCTCTTCCCTCTACCCTTCCCTCCTCCTCCCTCCCTCCCTCCCCTCCTCCCTCCTTTGAGCTCTCCACCAACATCAAGGCACCTCCTTGAAAGAAATACAGTGGACCCCCGCCTTATGATCAGCTCCCAACTCCAACAATTATGTAAGTGTATTTTTGTAAGTGCTTCTGTAAGTGTATTTTTGTAAGTGCTTTTGTACGTATATTTTTGGGGGTCTGAAACGGACTAATCTAATTTACAGCATTCCTTTTGGGAACAAATTCGTTCGGTAACGGCTCCCGAACAGACTTCTGGAATGAATTAATATCGTAAGTCGGGGTCCACTGTATTATTGTATCTTAAATTCTTATATAATTCATTTAAACCCCTGGTGCAGGGGTAATATTGGCATTAATAAAAAGCATAGCTGATAACTAATATTTATTGCTTATTAAATGCTGCATTTTTATGAAGAGTTGTATATAAAATTGCTTTTCTCTATTCCTGGTGAAATTGATGATTTGTTTTGTTGAACATGATAATTATCAATACAGGAGGGCCCTGCATATGTGGCACCTATTTTCAGTGTTCCACATTTTTGTTGGCCTCAAATTGAGCCATTGTTCATTATGTTCCACCCACTGATGATTGTCTCCAGTGGGTGGAACAATGGCTCAATTGAATGCCAACGAGAACGTGGAACAGCAAAAATAGGTGTTGTATATGTGAGGCTTTCCTGTATTGTCACACTGTTGCAAACAAACCACGGAACAGGTGGGGTTTGAGCTCATGGCGAGTGAGTCTTTAAACTTAGCTGGCCCAGTGCTTATGCACTGGCCTGGAATTTTGCCACTCACTTACCATAGGGTCTGACCCCCCACCTGTACTGTGGTTTCATAATTAATGCACTGTTTTGATACGTGTGTGTGGGCTTACCCCAGGTGCCCAACATGAAGGCTAAGGAGAAGCTGGGCGAGATGAAAGAGAAACTCGAGGAGACAAACTATGAACTTGCCACTGCCCGAAAACACGTTAAAAAGACCCAGCAGGCATTCGAGAGAGCCAAAAATGCTCGATATGATCTCTTCATGACATTCTTTGAGCACATCTCCAATGAGATTGATGGCATTTATAAGGTGAGTCATGAGATTTGTTTTATTGATATGCAGATACAGTGGACCCCCGCTTTACGATCAGCTCCCAATGCGACCAGTTATGTAAGTGTATTTATGTAAGTGCGTTTGCACTTGTATGTTTGGGGGTCTGAAATGGACTAATCTAATTCACAATATTCCTTATGGGAGCAAATTCATTCAGTAATGGCACCTGAACATACTTCTGGAATGAAATAATATCGTAAGCCGGGGGTCCACTGTATTTGTGTAGCCAGACTTGAGTCCTGGAGAGGGTAAGCATGTGCCTACACTCTGAAGGAGGGGTGGAGACATTTACAGTTTTGAACTGTAGTATTGGTGCTCCTCTGGCAAGACATTGATGGAGGGAGTGATGGTGAAAATGTTTCTTCTTTTTTGGGTCACCCTGCCTCAGTGGGAGATGGCCAGTTCGTTAAAAAAAAGTTTTATTTGTATAGTAATTTCAAGAAAAATACTGCACAATTCAAACCATGGAACAGGTAGAGTTGGAACCCATGTCGAGTGAGTCATAAAACTCCAGGTCATGGGTTCAGTCCCCCACCCATTCCATGGTTTATTTACATTGATGTTTGTATGTTTTCATGCATCACTGCACCATTACTTATACAGTAATACTGTAATAATGAATTTCTCAAAAGTACTGTATTCAGCTAAGAGCATTTGTGACAGCTCCCATATTGTGTCACTGTCGTCTAGCCTAGTGGGAACTGAGGGGTTCTGCTGTGGCCTACGGCTCACATTTGATGGGTTTCGTGATGTCATAGCTAGTAAGGGAGCTTATCTATAAAGTAGCTGGGATTATCTAAGTATACTACACAAGTACACAGTAACACTTCTGACATCAGATTCATTATCTCTTCAACCCATGTCGCTTCCCAGCACTAGTGCAGGAGTCCTGAGGAACATTTACAGTGATGGCTCTTCATATATTGATAAACAAAGTACCACATGTTAGTGTAGCTAAAGTTAATGGAACAAACCAGTCATGGATAACAAGCCATTTCCAGCATCTACACTACAGGTGGTACTTGGAGAAGAGGGCAGACTAAATAGAGCAATGTGTATTAAGTGTGGCAGAAAATAAAGTAATATAAGAATTTCTGGCTCCATGAGGAAGTGGAAGAGAGTCCTTCCTCCATAAGTCATGCGTGTTGTAAGAGGCTACTGAAATTCCGGGAGCAAGGGACTAGTAACCCCTTCCGTATAATTGATTAAATTTAAAAAACGAAAACTTTCGTTTTACCTTTTAGGTCACCCTGCCTTGGTGGGATATGACTGGTTTGTTGAAAAAAAATTGTGGTTATGTGGTAACATTGCTATTTTATTGAATTTACTTTGAGTTTTTATGGTTGTTTATGACAATTTTAGAAATACCTTCCTAATTTTAATTCTGTTTCTGTATTTTTTATTTCATATAGCCATCAAATTAGTGGGAGGAGGTGTGGAAGAAGTGAATGTACAATCGGTCTGTAAAAGTTCACGTGACCCATAGATTAAATGTGTGTTCAAGATTTGTGGAGAGAAAAGTTTTTTGGAGGCAAAAGGGGAATGGACTACCTGGAGTCTGCCTGGGGGTGTTCCAGGGGTCAGTGTCCCCGTGGTTCGGTCCTTGACCAGGCCTCGTAGTGGATCAGGGCTTGATTAACCAGGCTGTACTGCTGGCTGTATGCAATCCAAAGTATGTATGAGCCACAGCCTAGCTGGTCAGGTACTTACTTTAAGTTACCATCGCTATTATATGGTTATGAGTAAACATTGCAACGAGGAGGCTGGAGGCAATAGATATTTCATGGTTTAAGAGCAATGCAATGTGTGAATTTCATGCAGAAAATTCATAGTATAGAAATCAGATAACTGTGTGGGGTTACCAGAGGTAAAAGAGAGCTGAGAAGGCATTCTTGAGGTGGTTTGGGCATTGGGGAAATTATGAGGCAGAATAGGATGTCCAAGGTGTATAAATCTAGGGTGGAAGGAAGTAGGGATAGGAGTCATCCTGGGAAATGGTGGAGAAAAGGATAAAAAAAAAATGGGGTTTGAGTACTTGGAGCTTGAGCATCCAGCAGGCTTGTGAGTGCTTGTGAAATCAGATCGACTGGAGACGAGTTATTTTTATGACTTGATGTGCTGTTGGAGTTTGAGTAAGGTAACAGTGTTGAAGGGATTCAGGGAAAACTGGCTAACTGGACCTCAACACTATAGTTAGGTATAGTATAGGAGGGAATATGTAGGACTCAGTTTCTGGACTCATTATATGCCTCTTCTCCTTTGCATACTGCCAGCATTATAGGTAATACAGCTATGAAACTAATTACAGTAACTAGCTGGGCATAGAGAGAAACTTTTGAAATTCATTAATTTGTATTGTAGTACGTATCTAGTTTAATTGATTTCAGCCATAAATTATTGACATTGTCATACCTTATAACACATACTGTAGTGTACAGGAGGGCCCTGCATATTCAACACTGTTTTCAGTGTTCCACTTTTTGGTTTTCATTTGAGCCATTGTTCATTATGTTCAGTGCCTTTTCCACCATTTTTATACAATAGTTGCATAAGGGAATGGCAACCAGCACCATATTTTAAGGTGAGTATTGTATATATTGTGTATTTGTTTTATTTTTGTATCTGTTTTTTATGCCTAGCTGTATTGAGCACTTAACATATGATAGTGTAAACACGTTATTAGGCATTTTAGACGCATTCACTATTGAAAAAATTGCTATTTTATATCCGGTGGTGATTTTTGCTTATCATCAGGGGTTGGGAACATAACAGCTGTAGAAATTGGCCTTCCCCGTATTTTCTATAATTCCTGTCTTATTTACTCTATCCATTTTTTTCCATGCAGGCACTGACCAAGAATTCCTCTGCTCAGGCCTATCTGGGGCCAGAAAATCCAGAAGAGCCTTACCTTGGTGGCATCAACTACAGTTGTGTTGCACCTGGCAAAAGATTCCAGCCAATGTCTAACTTATCTGGGGGAGAGAAGACCATTGCAGCTTTGGCACTACTATTTGCTATCCATAGGTAAGTGGCAGGTCTATATGGTGCTAAACAATTTGTGGAAATACTGTTTATCCACCGTTATTTTGAGTATGTAATATGTCATTGTGCTTACAGCACATTACAATCACTAGTAACCAAAATATAAACCCAGTCCACCAGGAAAGTCTAAAATGAGAGAGAAGAATACATGAAAATGCAGCCTCCTAAGTCAGCATGTGAGCTGATTGGCTTACAGTTAACTTGAGTAACATTGTCCCTAGACTAGTGTCTGGTGCAAGAGAAAATGATGAAACATCAAAATGTATTGATGTCTTTTGCAGTATCTTATATGCCGTACAATTCATTTTATGTGTGGGCACAGATGTTAGAAGCTAGCGGGATGCATTTAGACATTTTTTCAATCTTTAGAGGCCCTGATCAATGGTAGTTTGACTTACATCCTGACTGGCTAATCACACACCTCTATTCACTTTACAAGAAAATAGATACAGCACCTAGGCTTTAGTATCTATTAATACCTGTTTTTTTTGGCAAGTTACCCCTTAAAAAAATAATCTATTATGCTGAATGAACGTTTTCTTTTTTCTTGTCAACAGTTATCATCCTGCTCCATTCTTAGTGCTGGATGAAATTGATGCATCCTTGGACAAAACCAACATCAGCAAGGTAGCATCTTATATCACAAAGATGAAGACGCAGCTACAGATCGTTGTCATTTCGCTGAAAGAACAATTTTATAATAAGGCTGATGCCATTATAGGAATTTGCCCTGATGTAAGTAGCATTTCATGACTGAACAGAAACATTAATGTGTTTTGTTTTGCATTGTAGGATTCAAATCCACAGTTACAGGAGGTTACCTTCTTATGAATACCTTAACCCCTTCAGGATCCAAGGCCAAAATCTGAAGTGGTGCTCCAGTGTCCAAGAAATTTTGAAAAAAAAAAAAAATTATTTTTTCATACAGAATTAAAGAGCATATTTTTGTGAAGGTAATAAAAAAAAAATTCTGATCAGTACTTACCGAGATACAGTGCCAAGTAGTTTGTCCAAAATGATGTGGTGGCGGCAACATCGACGAATTCCACATACGCGCATTACTTTATTTAGCGGTTTTTGTAGTTTTTTTCTTTTCTTTTCCAATTTTTTTCTATTCCTACTAACATTTGGGGCCTGAGAGACCAATACTGTATATAATGTATATATATAAACTCATTGTATTGAACACAATAACTGCACTAAAGTTATTATCATATTATTGTTTACCACTGTTGTTTATTACAATAAACATGCACAAATATTGTATAATACTAATGTTCTATCATATATTTACATATTTACAATCACTGGACATGGTTTTAGAACTGCTGGAGCTTGTGGAACTCCTTGAAACAAGGCACCATGCACAGAGGCACCTTACATTCCTCACACATAAACCGAGTGTCTTTGCGTCTTTGTTGCCGTCGTTTTGTTTGTGCACAGACGATGCATCTCTTCTGAGCAAATTTCTTCTGAGTTGCAGGAAGCTGTATTATGAAATGATCACCTTCCCTCCTCAAACGCTTGGGTATATCCTGAGGAATTCGAGGACCTTGTTGTATAGCAGGTGTTCTTACCTGGTACTTCATTATGAGTTGTTTGACAACAGACAAACAAAATTCACCATACGGTGGTCTGTTGCCAGTCTTTATTTGGTACATATTATATGCATTGAGCATTGAAATGTCCATGAGATGGAAGAAAAGTTTCATGTACCACTTGTAACTCTTACGAACACAATCAACAAAACCAATCTGCATGTCACATTTGTCAACCAAGCGCATGTTTTGTGTATAATCACTCACTGGTTTTCGAATACGTTCATTAGTCACTCGATCAACTTTGCCACTGTCTTGCATTTCATTACGGTAAATGGTTGTCAACAATGTGACATCTCGTTTGTCATGCCACCATAATGCCATGATGTCATTGGCAGTAAACACTGCACGTCATCACCACGAGCACCTGCGTTGAGCCTGGGCATATGTTTACGATTAGAACGCACTGTGCCACACACATCTGTCTTGTTCACTCACAAGAAATCACTGAGTAATGGGCTTGTGTACCAGTTATTGGTATATAATGTATGCCCCTTACCAAGATAAGGTGCCATCATGTTTCTCACTACGTCACCTGAGATACCCAATAACATCTTGGTATTTTTCAATGTTTTACTTCCCGTGTATACAACAATATCCAACAACAGGACACTGTCACAGTCACAGAGTACAAACAGTTTTATACCAAAGCGTTTCCTCTTGCTCGGTATATACTGCTTGAATGACAGTCTACCTTTGAACAAAATCAAAGACTCGTCAATTACAAGATTCTTGAATGGATAAAAGTATATGCTGAACTTTTGTTTGAGATACATAAAAACATTTCTAATCTTGTATAACCTGTCACTTCTGTCAGGCCTGGTTTTGTCAGAGAAGTGCAACATACATAACAGTAAGATAAACCTGTTCACTGGGATGATTTCACTGAAGACCGGGGTAGAAATTAGCCAATCTGTGGACCAGTATGCTTTTATATTATGCTTATAGACATGAGGCATAAGCATTATTGTTGCAAAAAGCAAATACATTTCTGCAACAGTCGTCTCTTTCCACCTGTGTAGTCTTGACTGTGGTGATAAGATCGTATTTGCCATGGTGTACTCAAAATACTTATTACTTTCCCTGACAATAGTTTCCATCAATGGCTGGTCAAAGAATAATTCAAATAATTCCAGTTCATTGGCCGTGGTTCAAAGGGGACAAGTAGGTAGAATTCCACTTTGAGAGTCATCAAAGTGGTGGGGCTTAGGAACAAAATTGGGATTTTACTGCCAATCCCAGATACGGTTTGCTGGTGGATACTGGACATCATAGGCTGGTTGTGCGGGTGGTTGTGGTTGTGGTGGGCTGGTGGCTGATGCTCCGCTTTGTCCTTGAACTGAGGAGTCAGCAGCGTGGGTCCCAGCCTGGGCTGGTGAGTCACGCATGGCGGTGCCACTACCATCACCACTACCACCATCTACTGATGCCTGTGGTCTATCCATGCCAAGTGTAGCCACATCATCCTCACTATCACTATCTTAACCTGGTGTAGGGCCACGGGATGTACTCCGGGATGTACTCCGTCCCATGGGCACAGCATAGGGTACACTACCCGAGCGCATGCGGCGGCGTACATACCGACGCTTCACTGGTGAATATGATTCCTCACTATCACTACTCGAATGATCGTCAAGTGCAATAAAATCACAATCCACATCACTATCATCATCATTACTGAAGTCAGAGGCCTGGCCACGCGAAAATATTAGTTTTCTCTTGCGATGAGGTACAACTGACCATGGCTGACGAGTGCCCACACCAGAGGTAGAAGGTTGAGGATCGTCAGGGTTTTTTGCACTATTATCGATATCCTGGTTATTCCTTTCGGTTGCTAACTGATCAGAGCCATAGAATTCATCTTCATTTCCACTTCCATCAGTGTCAGAACTATCAGATAGGAAGAGGAGAGTCCCAATTTTCCGTGGAGTGAGAGCTGACTTGCGACGAGGCATGGTGAACAAGGGTAACTGAGCCGGTGTTCCCATAATGCTATGCGGGCGCCTAGATTTTTTGTTTATGGCGCACACCCACCACGCAGACCCGTTCTCTCACATGTAGGCCTATGAGCGCTTCTGCGGTTTGGACACTCAATGTGAAGCCGTAGATCTACGGGACGGACCCTGAAAGGGTTAAGTAACATATCTACACTTACAATCTTGTCACCACGACTCACAAAATCGTAATGACACGATTGCAAACAAACCATACTACGGGCGGGGATAGAACCCGCAGTCAGAGAGTCTCACTTTAGAATGAAATAAGAAGCTTTACAGCCTTTGCTTCAACATAAGCATGTGTAAAAAACCACGGTACATGAGTCATGATAATGGCTTTGAGGGGACTTGAGCAACAGTTTGCCACTGCCCGCTGGCTGGAAATTCATCTGTAAAAACTTGCATTTGTGGTCACAGTGGTGGCCCATGCTAACCTCCCTGTGGTGTATAAATATACCTAGTTGGATGAACTTATTGTAACCAGCTGGCCCAGTGGCTTACACACTGGCCTTGAGTTTTACCACTCGCTTACTATGAATTCAAACCCCACTTATACTGTGGTTTTTTCACAATTGTGTTATTACGATTGTGAGAGTCATGATAAGCATGTATAAAACAGGCATCCTCTGTACTGTTGCTTTGTATATAAACAATTTGCTTGTAATTTATAACACCAGGAATACAGTTTGTTTATAGGTAGTGAACCTCCTGCATTGTCAAAATCCTAAGTAAATGCAATGTTGTGTAAAATATATTTTATTCATTTTGGTGGGTATTTGTTATTTTTTCAAGTTTAAAAATGATTAATAGTAGGTTGCATTGTGGACACACATGTAACTAATGTGACATTTTATTATGGCAAGGTTTTGCTCTCCAGGAGCTTTGTTAAGCCAGCGTGACAAAGCTCCTGGAGAGCGAAATGATGACACAATAAAATGTCACATTAGTACAGTGGACCCCCGGTTAACGATATTTTTTCACTCCAGAAGTATGTTCAGGTTCCCATAAGAAATATTGTGAAGTAGATTAGTCCATTTCAGACCCCAAACATACACATACAAACGAACTTACATAAATACACTTACATAATTGGTCGCACTCGGAGGTAATCGTTATGCGGGGGTCCACTGTACAGTTATCCTTTTACCTTCTAGGTAGTAGGTTGGTAGACAGCAACCACCCAGTGAGGTACTACCATCCTGCCAAGTGAGTGTAAAATGAAAGCCTGTAATTGTTTTACATGATGGTAGGATTGCTGGTGTCTTTTTTTCTGTCTCATGACCATGCAAGATTTCAGGTACGTCTTGCTACTTCTACTTACACTTAGGTCACACTTAACATACATGTACAAGCATATATATACACACCCCTCTGAATATTCTTCTATATTCTTTCTAGTTCTTATTCTTGTTTATTTCCTCTTATCTCCATGGGGAAGTGGAACAGAATTCTTCCTCCGTAAGCCATGCATGTTGTAAGAGGCGACTAAAATGCCAGGAGCAAGGGGCCATTAACACCTTCTCCTGTATAAATTGCTAAATTTAAAAAGAAAAACTTTCATGTTTTGTTTTAGGTCACCCTGCGGTTCATTTTAGGTCACCCTGTGGTTCATTTTAGATCACCCTGCGGTTCATTTTAGGTCACCCTGCGGTTCATTTTAGATCACCCTGCGGTTCATTTTAGATCACCCTGCGGTTCATTTTAGATCACCCTGCGGTTCATTTTAGATCACCCTGCAGTTCATTTTAGGTCACCCTGTGGTTCATTTTAGATCACCCTGCGGTTCATTTTAGATCACCCTGCGGTTCATTTTAGATCACCCTGCGGTTCATTTTAGATCACCCTGCCATTCATTTTAGATCACCCTGCGGTTCATTTTAGGTCACCCTGCGGTTCATTTTAGGTCACCCTGCTGTTCATTTTAGATCACCCTGCGGTTCATTTTAGATCACCCTGCAGTTCATTTTAGATCACCCTGCCGTTCATTTTAGATTACCCTGCGGTTCATTTTAGATCACCCTGCGGTTCATTTTAGGTCACCCTGCGGTTCATTTTAGGTCACCCTGTGGTTCATTTTAGATCACCCTGCAGTTCATTTTAGATCACCCTGCCGTTCATTTTAGATCACCCTGCGGTTCATTTTAGATCACCCTGCGGTTCATTTTAGATCACCCTGCCGTTCATTTTAGGTCACCCTGTGGTTCATTTTAGATCACCCTGCAGTTCATTTTAGGTCACCCTGCCGTTCATTTTAGATCACCCTGCTGTTCATTTTAGATCACCCTGCCGTTCATTTTAGATCACCCTGCGGTTCATTTTAGATCACCCTGCCATTCACTTTAGGTCACCCTGTGGTTCATTTTAGATCACCCTGCAGTTCATTTTAGATCACCCTGTCGTTCATTTTAGATCACCCTGCTGTTCATTTTAGATCACCCTGCGGTTCATTTTAGATCACCCTGCTGTTCATTTTAGATCACCCTGCTGTTCATTTTAGGTCACCCTGCGGTTTATTTTAGGTCACCCTGCTGTTCATTTTAGATCACCCTGCTGTTCATTTTAGGTCACCCTTTGGTTCATTTTAGATCACCCTGCAGTTCATTTTAGATCACCCTGCAGTTCATTTTAGATCACCCTGCTGTTCATTTTAGATCACCCTGCGGTTCATTTTAGATCACCCTGCAGTTCATTTTAGATCACCCTGCCGTTAATTTTAGATCACCCTGCCGTTCATTTTAGATCACCCTGCGGTTCATTTTAGATCACCCTGCGGTTCATTTTAGATCACCCTGCAGTTCATTTTAGATCACCCTGCGGTTCATTTTAGATCACCCTGCGGTTCATTTTAGATCACCCTGCGGTTCATTTTAGATCACCCTGCGGTTCATTTTAGATCACCCTGCCGTTCATTTTAGATCACCCTGCCGTTCATTTTAGATCACCCTGCAGTTCATTTTAGATCACCCTGCGGTTCATTTTAGATTACCCTGCGGTTCATTTTTAGATTACCCTGCTGTTCATTTTAGATCACCCTGCGGTTCATTTTAGATCACTCTGCGGTTCATTTTAGATCACCCTGCGGTTCATTTTAGATCACCCTGTGATTCATTTTAGGTCACCCTGTGGTTCATTTTAGATCACCCTGCGGTTCATTTTAGATCACTCTGCGGTTCATTTTAGATCACCCTGCGATTCATTTTAGGTCACCCTGTGGTTCATTTTAGGTCACCCTGTGGTTCATTTTAGGTCACCCTGTGGTTCATTTTAGATCACCCTGCGGTTCATTTTAGATTACCCTGCGGTTCATTTTAGATCACCCTGTGGTTCATTTTAGATCACCCTGAGGTTCATTTTAGATCACTCTGCGGTTCATTTTAGATCACTCTGCGGTTCATTTTAGATCACTCTGCGGTTCATTTTAGATCACTCTGTGGTTCATTTTAGATCACCCTGCCATTCATTTTAGATCACCTTGCGGTTCATTTTAGATCACCCTGCGGTTCATTTTAGATCGCCCTGCGGTTCATTTTAGATCGCCCTGCGATTCATTTTAGGTCACCCTGTGGTTCATTTTAGATCACCCTGCGGTTCATTTTAGATCACCCTGTGGTTCATTTTAGATCACCCTGCGGTTCATTTTAGATCACTCTGCGGTTCATTTTAGATCACCCTGCGGTTCATTTTAGATCACCCTGTGGTTCATTTTAGATTACCCTGCGGTTCATTTTTAGATTACCCTGCTGTTCATTTTAGATCACCCTGCGGTTCATTTTAGATCACTCTGCGGTTCATTTTAGATCACCCTGCGGTTCATTTTAGATCACCCTGTGATTCATTTTAGGTCACCCTGTGGTTCATTTTAGATCACCCTGCGGTTCATTTTAGATCACTCTGCGGTTCATTTTAGATCACCCTGCGATTCATTTTAGGTCACCCTGTGGTTCATTTTAGGTCACCCTGTGGTTCATTTTAGGTCACCCTGTGGTTCATTTTAGATCACCCTGCGGTTCATTTTAGATTACCCTGCGGTTCATTTTAGATCACCCTGTGGTTCATTTTAGATCACCCTGAGGTTCATTTTAGATCACTCTGCGGTTCATTTTAGATCACTCTGCGGTTCATTTTAGATCACTCTGCGGTTCATTTTAGATCACTCTGTGGTTCATTTTAGATCACCCTGCCATTCATTTTAGATCACCTTGCGGTTCATTTTAGATCACCCTGCGGTTCATTTTAGATCGCCCTGCGGTTCATTTTAGATCGCCCTGCGATTCATTTTAGGTCACCCTGTGGTTCATTTTAGATCACCCTGCGGTTCATTTTAGATCACCCTGTGGTTCATTTTAGATCACCCTGCGGTTCATTTTAGATCACTCTGCGGTTCATTTTAGATCACCCTGCGGTTCATTTTAGATCACCCTGTGGTTCATTTTAGATCACCCTGCGGTTCATTTTAGATCACCCTGAGGTTCATTTTAGATCACCCTGCGGTTCATTTTAGATCACCCTGCGGTTCATTTTAGATCACCCTGCTGTTCATTTTAGATCACCCTGCGGTTCATTTTAGATCACCCTGCGGTTCATTTTAGATCACTCTGTGGTTCATTTTAGATCACCCTGCGGTTCATTTTAGATCACCCTGCGGTTCATTTTAGATCACCCTGCGGTTCATTTTAGGTCACCCTGCGGTTCATTTTAGGTCACCCTGCGGTTCATTTAGATCACCTGCGGTTCATTTTAGATCACCCTGCGGTTCATTTTAGATCACCCTGCGGTTCATTTTAGGTCACCCTGCAGTTCATTTTAGATTACCCTGTGGTTCATTTTAAATCACCCTGCGGTTCATTTTAGATCACCCTGCGGTTCATTTTAAATCACCCTGTGGTTCATTTTAGATCACCCTGCGGTTCATTTTAGATCACCCTGCGGTTCATTTTAGGTCACCCTGCGGTTCATTTTAGATTACCCTGCGGTTCATTTTAGGTCACCCTGTGGTTCATTTTAAATCACCCTGTGGTTCGTTGTATAAAAAAAAACTCCCCATCATTTAGTAACCTTACCATTGCTACATTGGTTGGGTTTGTTCAAAGCTTCTACAAGGTTCACTTTATGAACACAGACAAGCATTAATTTTTACTATAATGGTAAATTTCCTTGTTGATTCATCACTTATTCCCAAATTGCACAAAATAAGGGAATAAATGCTATAATTCTTAGCATTTGTTTGGCCTTTGGTCATTTTTGAAGTTCATGTGCATCATTTTGCATTATTATTTATTTTATTAACATATTGGCCATTTCCCACCAAGGCAGGGTGACCCGAAAAAGAAAAAAAAACTTTCACCATCACTCACTCCATCACTGCCTTGCCCAAGGTGCACTTGCACTACAGTTATAAAACTGCAACATTAACACCCCTCCTTCATTTTACGTAGAAATATAATTTTACTCGCAATTTTAGCAAATGTCAGTTTTTTTATGAGAGGAAGTTTATGTACTTGTCTCATTTATGGAGCATTGTAAACTAAAAAGAAAACTGTTCCGTAGCTTGGTGACTGTGTGATGAGCCAGATGATATCTGTGGACTTGAAGAAATACGA